CAAAAAAAAAATAATCTCAAAGGTAAAAAAATAACTGCAAAGTTGGTATCAATTCTGTGAGAAATGCACTCATGGCCACTAGACAATCTAGGCTAATCATTCAACAATCTGTTTACAAAGGTGTACTGTTTTTAGCCAACTCGGTTCATGCCAAAAAACTCGCCCTCCCTTAGGGAGCTATCCCCCAGGCTGTTATCAGGTTATTGTTTACCCTGACTGTTTGCCCAACAAATCTGGGAGGGCTGTTTTGAAAAAATGACTGTACTTATGGCAAAATGAATCCACGATTTCTGACTTCTGATTGAGCAATAAATAACAGTTAAAACGCACCAGAATGCAGTATTATACATACAGTTTTTAAAAATTTTCCACACCGTGGGAGGGGCACACCCACACCCACGTCCCCCTCGTGTCCGCTTACTGCCTCCCTGGCATTTTGCTCAGGCTACGGCCCTGGTGCTGCGTGTATTTTTGAAAGGGCACTTACTGGGGACTTTTCAGTTATTTATGCTGTTTGGAGGCCTGTTTGCAATGTTTAAATTTTATACGGTTTTCCATACCAATTGACAGTGGTAATTTTATTACAGACGCTCGCCACATTCTTCATTTAAAATGTATCGTTGATCAGGATGAAAGAATATTCTTTTCTTTTTTCGCCCTTTGCAAATGAAAAAAGGCCACAGCTTTGTGTCATAATAATACTTATAGCATGCGGCATTGGAAAATTTGAAAGTTTGACTTTCATCTGTTGCTACTTTTGATGGGACACGTTCCATTCGGACATACTGGATACTACCCTGAGTGTCAGAGCAACGTAAAAATTAGCTTGCAAATATTAAATATACCTTGGAGTCATTTTTACTAGGTATTGCTGATATGGGTTATATATGAAATCAAGATCGAGCTGGCAATACCGGAATCTAGAACCTAGGGTAACTGGATACAGGTTTATATGTCAAATGTGCTATCTATATGGTTTTCTACGCTAAAATTATGTCTGTTATGATAGAGACGATGACCATTAAGTTCAAATCTATGACTCCGTTCACACGGAAAGTCTATTTTCTAAAAATCCATTTTCTATTCGCGGTATCTTGTAATCACGGTCCCTGTGCCCTGAATATCTCGCGGCGTAATTACTGGCGGCGCGAGTTACTTCCAAAGCTGTAATTAATTCTCGGGATATTCAGGGCACAGGGACCGTGATTACAAGATACCGCGAATAGAAAATAGATTTTTAGAAAATAGACTTTCCATGTGAACCAAGCCTATATTTGATAAGGATGCAAAATTTTATTCGTATATAAATTTGTTCTACAGCTACAATTTCCTGTCTTAACACGGTAAATAATAAAGAGGCCTAAGATGTGTGCCTTAATCATAATATTTTACCAGCACCACTGATATCACGCAATTTTTGTTCTAAGTAAATAGCCTAAATAACTCATGACACATTGCGATAGAGAAGCCCCGACACAATCGTTATCTTGATTTGACCATTAGAGTACTTCCTTAAATGTGTGACCTTGGACCCAACGTGTGATGTGTCCTAGGTTTGACAAACTCATACCTGGGGCAAGGGGAGGGGTGTGAGTGCTTCCCCACTGCTTTCAAAAGCAAAACGAGTTATCCCCTCGCCCATTCCGAAATTATGGAAAAGGTAAACACGTTTCCTATTGTAGGAGCTAGGGTCGCCTATACTTGTCCCATATGATTATGTAATAGTCTCTATGTGATATTGCTATTTGCAATACGCCATGCTGTCGAGTTACGGGGCCCAGGCTGGATAGACCTGTTTGTTATATCCTGAATAAGCCACACCCGTGTCACATGACAGTGCGTGCATAATCAGCCATTGTCATTTAGGCCCACCGATAGGCTTATAAGATTATCTCCAAGGGTGCAAGGTGCACGAAGATCCGTTGTGACGGTAAGTTGTAGACGATATAACTACATGTACCATGGAGGTACCTGAATGGATGGTGCTTCTTTACAAATATCTTAAATCATCGATAGAGTTCTTCGATGAATTAGAAAGATGATTGTGTTTTCTTCAGGACGTAGGTCCTATTTTGTCATTGATCTTAGCCAGTGAATAACTTAGTTGTTCCAATCGAAATCATTCCATGTTTTAAGCACAGATTCACCCGTGTGCATACACACATGAACTGACAAGAGCACACACCCCTTCGCTCATAAGCACAAGAACAAGTCGATAAAATTGAATCCATCCAGATTAGAGCATGTAAGATTATATTCCCAGAGCTGCCCTACGATAGGGCATGTTTTGAAACATGTAAACTTATCACTCTTGCTTGTAGAAGAGATGAATGATCCTTAACGTTATTGCATAACATGTACAATGTACTCTGAAGGGCACAAAATCCATCATTTGCTGCCAGAGATAAATGAAAGTTCCTATACTTTGCGCCGGGTTTATAAGTACACTGTGCCAAAATTGAGGACTGTACGGTCGTCAAAAACTTTTATCCCATGGGCTTTATCAAATTTTAAGAACTGAGGTTTTATAAACTTTTAATGTGTATCGAATCATTTTAATACTTACAAGTATATTTTAAGATTGTGCATCTCACGTCTATTTGCTTTTATTGTAAAATCCAACTTTTTAAGTTGCAAATAAATACATCTTATTATTATAAGAACAAGCTCGCGCGCGCGCGCGCACACACACACACACACACACACAACTACGATACATAGCTCTCCGATCGGCAAGGGCGACAGTGTCGTCTTCTGACCTGTAGTTTGTTGAACGAGGATATAAAACTGGCAGTAACTGGCATATGTGACCTGAATTTCTCTTTATTTTCGTCCTCGGTGATCATTTCAGAAAAGGACCCCCCCCCTTTCCCCTGAGGGTACTAATGAATTTGTGACATTATTATATCATTCTGAAGAGAAACTTGAATACACTGCAGCTCGTGAAATGTACTGCTATTAAGATTGAGTCACTGCCTATAAATAGAGCATTATATTATTTAGGAGCTTTATAACGTGAGCGTTTTGAACTTATTAGTTTTTCATTACAGGGCTTTTACACATCTATAACGAGATGGAAACCTTGGGAAAATTTGGCTCTCTTCAAACTAGTTACTACCACAGCCCGCTGTCCACTGCTGCTGCCTACGTCACGCTGCCTGAGGTTTTCGATTCCACGGCGACCAGGCTGCCCACCAAGACTGCCGTGGTGGTATACCAGAGTCGAGACAACAGAGAATGCCTGACATTTGCTGAACTGCAGGTAAATCGTACACTGAAAAAATAATGCCGTGACAAAACAATTAAAAGGAGAAAGATGAAGAACAACTATTATTTCTGTCTTCTTTAATCAATTTTCAAAAAAACGTTTGAAATGTGCCATATCTTTGTTCATGAATTATTTTGTTTCTTTTAAGAATTAATAAAAAATAGATCATATGTAGAAATGGTTTATATTTCTTATTTTCATTTCACCTTCTGATCGCTAATCAACCACTTATTTCTTTTTTCATCCAGAACCAATCCAAGACCCTAGCACTAGCTTTGACGCAACGCGGATATGCTCGCGGTGACCGCGTGGCCTTTTTCGCGCCAAATTGCATCGAATACTTCAACATCCAGTTAGCACTGAGTCGCATTGGCTGCAATATTTTCCTCCTTAGCAACCTGATCACCCTCGAGTCTGACGTGTGGCAATACAAGTGTCGTGCCCTGTTTATGTACATAAAAAACGAAGAAGAGGTTGACGTTTGCAGAAAAATAGTCGACAGAAAATCTCGCGAGAGTAAGGAAAAAGACGTGATCATCTTTGGTCCAAACTGTGCCGTCGCCATGGCAGGGACCGTGCCCCTGATCAGCGTCTTGGCCGCAGGAGCGGGACATGACTGGGATGACATCAAAATTAAAGATGGAGAGGTGGGGCCAAACCCGGATGACCCTTACTGTGTCTTCTTAACATCGGGTTCTACGGGTAAACCCAAAGGAGTCCAGTACACCCATATCAAGTACCTTCACCATTGCAGAGTGCTGAATTCAACGGCTATAACGGAAGACAGCATCTTCTTCAACGACCGCCCTGTGACTTGGCTGGGCGGTAGTATGACATTGCTTAGTATGTCGGTGTTTGGAGCGACAGGAGTGACGGTGAATTCTGCTCTGGTGGTCGGCGGGGGAGACGTGGATTTTGTTATTGGAGTCATGAAGCGGGAGATGTGTACAGAAGCATTGATTATGTATTATTTCATGGTGGATCTTCTACGTCGTTATAACCCGGAGATCCACGCGGTGCCCTCTCTACGACATATTTTAACAGGGGGCCAGAGGATGGATGTGGGCGTCTTAAAGAAGATTCAGACTCTATTGCCACACGTTGAGTATATCGTGGATAGTTACGGTTAGTTATATCACCAATTGTTGAAAGATGCGTTTGTCTATTCATTTTTAATTGTATCTCTTTTTTTTCTTTTTTGTAATCATTCATCTTATCATAATCAGAGTAATTTCTTCTTAAAGACAATATTTATTCAAAAGTATATCCTGTGTATTTTATCCACACTGTACGTACCAACCAACGTGTGTAGTTATTTTTGTCACTTCTATGTTAGAGAGTCACTTTTGTTAAAGAGCGGATTTGGGGAATGGTCAGACCAAAATTCCCATCGTCTTTGATAAGATAAGATAAGAGCTTATGTAGCCAATTATAAAAATCGGAAATCATTTTTCTTTTGAAGCAATATACAGAGTAAAATAATAGAATAATACAATAAATAAATAAATTATGAAATTTTTTTAGATCAAATTAAAATGCGTCACTGCACTTGGATAAAAGCTGTTTAAAAAGCGTTTACTGCCTTTAAAAGTTAAAAGTCTCCTGTTGCTTGGTAAAAACGTAAAAAGTGATTATGCAGGATGGAAAGAGTCTTCCGTGGTGTTGACAATTCTTTTCTCCATTCTCCATAAAGTATCATCCAGCTTGGGGAGATCCTGCCCGATAATCTAACTTGCAGTTTTTACAACGTTTGTTAGTTTCTTCCTTTCCTCCCCAGCTGTCCCGCTATACCATGTTATAATTCCGTGCGCCAGAATGCTTTTAATTACACACCTGTAAAAATTGACTAAATACGGGGTTTGTGCATAGATACGGGGTTATCCCCCTCCAGTTGATCACCCAAAACAATAACAGTATATTTCAGTACTGGAAATGTTGACAAGGTACGGAAACACCTGAGAATCACCAAACGGTACTTTTATTACCCGGGTTATGGGTGAGGGTAAGATTAAAGTGGGTAGTCACATTCTTTCGAATGCACCTCACAATACCAGAGGCTCGACAGAAGGTAATTTGGCAAGAGGGCTGATACACAAGTAAATGTGTAACCCGTCCTCCTAAAACAATAAATATGATATCAACCCTGTCTATTTGGTAAATGGAATCTGATGTTTTTACAGGGTCTGCTGAGTGCGGCCTTGTTTCAGTTGCCCGGTGTTGCAACATCTACATGGCTTCTGACGGTGAGGAGATTTTCGACGGCTTTGAAGTGAGAATCGTCGACGAAAACCACCGAGACGTCCCTCGCGGAACCAGCGGCGAAATCTGCGTGCGTTCGCCGACCATCTACGCCAACTGCTACGTGGACAACGAGAAAGCATCCAAGGCAGTAATTGACAACGCTGGATGGTATTGCACCGGGGACATCGGGGTTATCGACGCAGACGGGAGACTTGCGATAAGCGGCCGCAAGGATGACATGATAAAGCGAGCGACGGTTAAAATATTTCCTGTCGATATTGAGCCGATACTCAAGCAACATTCTGCCATAAAAGATGTCGTGGTGATAGGCGTGCCTGATGATCGGTTAGGGGAGGAAATCTGCGCATGTGTCATACTAGATGATGCGTCCTCATTGGCCGACGTAAAGAGTTGGTGTAAAGAGCAGTTTTCTGTCGGACCTGATGGCCTATCAATAGCGCCTGTGTTATATGTGCAGTTTTCTCAATTTCCCACGACTTCCTCAGGGAAAACTGACAGACGTTTAGTGAAACAGGCGGCACTGGAAATTTTGAAAGTTTGACCTTCACCTGTATTTTATTTTATCAGAGACGTTGGGCACATTCTTTATTTGAAATGTATCTTTGATAAGAGTGCAAGACATTTTATTTCATTTTTAGCTCTTTCAAGTATACAAAAGACCGCTGCTTTGTGTAATGATAATAATAAATACACCAGTACCAGTACCAATACGTAGTGTTTAAAGAAAATCCTTGATTACATTTGCCATGCGATGTCCGCACGGTGCTTGCTTACTGCTCATAATGTACTTTTCTTAACGGCGTTTGAGCGACGGCAGACTGTGGTCGTGCGAAATAGTATGGAATCGTACAGATTTTCGACATTCGTACATGTAGCCTAGCTGAATCTTTTAACATTTTTTAATGGTAAGCCTGTATACCGTAGCAATATAGAGATGGCATTGCACTATTTCCGCATTGTACCCGGTACGGTAGACTTGCGGTTATCTTAAATTTCAGGCCTACCCAACTACCAGACTCGGCACCTAAGGATCCTGAATTAACCGGTATATCGGACCAATCTACCCGTTTTCAAGGTGTGTGTCAGATCGCATTTCGGAGTATCATACCCCAGAACAAATTTTGTAGCACGACTGCGGGCTCATCCACGCTCGGCTGAACAACTATAAACTGTACTCTTACTTTAGAGTAGGGTAGACCGGGGCTAAACGCCCCCCTTAAGCAAGAAACATCACAATTTTCCCTGCTGACCGTTCAAAGTGGGTGTTAACTATGAAGGGCTGTCTAGACTACAAACTGATACTAACACTTTAGGAAACAAACAAAAGAAAAACCTTATAGGTAAAAAATAGGTAAATTATAAAATCGGCCTTTTTGCCCCATGGCTGGGGCATTACGCCTCGCACCACGGGGCTAAACGCCCGCCGTGGGCGTCTTGCCCCAAACTATAGGCGTTATGCCCCGCCTTTGTACAAAGCAAAATAAAATCAAATTATATTTCTACGAGACAACTTAGTAAGCCTTTAAAAGCAACATATAATATTTTGGGGTACTGAAATAATAAAAATATCCATCAAATTTATTCAGAATGAGCTGTAATTCTACTCTTTACGACAGGGCACTGTGATACTTCCAAAATTAAGTTCCTAGTACAGCCACTTGCTCTGGCTTTTCCCCACATAAGTGTTATAACTGATGATATACAATAAAAAAACATGCATGAAAGAACACTTCCGCATCTTTTTAGAATTATTTTTTATTTAAAAACGAAAGGGGGCAAAACGCCCAGTGATCGGGGCAAAACGCCCACTATAGGCGTTTTGCCCCATATCAGCAGGGGCGTTTTGCCCCAAAGTGAGATTTTGTATATTTTTTCAAAATTCGGCGGGAAAAGTTTTATACAATCTGACTTCATCGAAACTTGTATGGAGGTCTGATACCATCCTATCTGTCACCAACAAAGTTTTTTGAATTCGTGCATTTGGTAGGTGGTGTCACTGATGTTAAGGAAAAGGCTAAATAACAGTAAACAAGGCAAAAATGAACAAATTATCATAAAATGCTTATTTTTTAGTTTGTGGTCATCTCCGTCATGGAGGATAAGTCTGCTGGAAATCGGAAGTGGACAAAACATCACGAGACGTGTATTTATACGTAATACCCAGGGGCGGATTTAGGGCGTCTTCTGGGTCTTCCGGAAGACGGTCATATTTTCAAGTTTACATTGACGGGTATCTAATTATTTCTGTCGGAAGACGGTCAAAAAATGGAGGATGGATCAACAAAGATAATTTGGAAGACTGTCAGAAAATAACTCTGGATCCGCCCCTGATACCTGAAAAAAAGCAGGTGGGCGTTTGACCCCGACTGGGCGTTTAGCCCCGGTCTACCCTACTCTATTTTATTGTCTCTGTGGGGATAAATGGGGACTTAACGACATTCGGTTTGAATGTTTTACCCACTTTTGATAGGGCGTTTTTTGCATTGTATTAGATTAATGTGGCAGTCTAAGGTTCATCTAGGAGGCTTTCAAATTTATGCACCCGGTTTTAAAATCATATAGCGAATTACGACAATCGTTTACTATCCAATCAAGGTGACAGCCGAGCATGCCAGGGCTCATCCTGTCGGTGTTCTGGCTGATACTCCGAAATGCGATCTGAAACACACCTTGAAAACGGGTAGTGTGGCCCGATATACCGGTTAATTCAGGATCCTTAGGTGCTGAGTCTGGTAGTTGGGTAGGCCTGAATTTTATTTTATGTATTTCTACTGAGAAAAATGTTTAAATGATGAACCATTTTGTATAACATCCAAGGCGTGTTACATGTACCATAATTGTGGAGGTCTAGAATAAATGTATATTAGAATAAAAGAAAAAAATCCGTGCCATTTTCAATTTTTTTTATCACGAAAAACACAATAATTTTTTGGCCTGAGAGGGAAGTTTTCTTTGAGACCTTCCAGCATTACTTTCTTTGCCGTGGCTCCGTGGTGCTTCCCAGCAAACACTGGTATGTGGGGTACAGTTCTAGTACTTGAAATGCAATACTTTTTGACAGAAAATTCAATAGTGTCTGAAAATGTCCCTTGATTTTAATATCAATATTTAAATATTAGAAGAAATTAGTATTTTAAAGTAAAAAAACTAAAATCTTACACTTTGTCTCTCTAAGTTACATAAATTAAAACTATATTGTTTCGTTTGGTTTGGTTAAACGTTTTAAAATTATTTGACGTTATTCGGCGCTAAAGATGTCTCATTAAAATGGAAGCTCACTTGTAAGGTTAGTTATCAATAAAAGGAAATGGTCAAATTCATTTAGGGTTTGAAAAGGAAGAATTTAAAACACAAGGAAATCAATTTTTAAATGGCATTTCAGATAAAAAATAAATACACTGTAGGACAACCCAAACGAGCAACAAGCGTGTCAGTGTTGATGAAGCAGATGGAAAATCGCGATGAGCGGACATTAAGATGACTTGCTAAAAAGAGCGACAGTTAAAATATCNAAACACACCTTGAAAACGGGTAGTGTGGCCCGATATACCGGTTAATTCAGGATCCTTAGGTGCTGAGTCTGGTAGTTGGGTAGGCCTGAATTTTATTTTATGTATTTCTACTGAGAAAAATGTTTAAATGATGAACCATTTTGTATAACATCCAAGGCGTGTTACATGTACCATAATTGTGGAGGTCTAGAATAAATGTATATTAGAAAAAAAAGAAAAAAATCCGTGCCATTTTCAATTTTTTTATCACGAAAAACACAATAATTTTTTGGCCTGAGAGGGAAGTTTTCTTTGAGACCTTCCAGCATTACTTTCTTTGCCGTGGCTCCGTGGTGCTTCCCAGCAAACACTGGTATGTGGGGTACAGTTCTAGTACTTGAAATGCAATACTTTTTGACAGAAAATTCAATAGTGTCTGAAAATGTCCCTTGATTTTAATATCAATATTTAAATATTAGAAGAAATTAGTATTTTAAAGTAAAAAAACTAAAATCTTACACTTTGTCTCTCTAAGTTACATAAATTAAAACTATATTGTTTCGTTTGATTTGGTTAAACGTTTTAAAATTATTTGACGTTATTCGGCGCTAAAGATGTCTCATTAAAATGGAAGCTCACTTGTAAGGTTAGTTATCAATAAAAGGAAATGGTCAAATTCATTTAGGGTTTGAAAAGGAAGAATTTAAAACACAAGGAAATCAATTTTTAAATGGCATTTCAGATAAAAAATAAATACACTGTAGGACAACCCAAACGAGCAACAAGCGTGTCAGTGTTGACGAAGCAGATGGAAAATCGCGATGAGCGGACATAAAGATGACTTGCTAAAAAGAGCGACAGTTAAAATATCCCCTGGCGATATTGAGCAGAAACTCAAGCATTCTTTCACAAAAGGCGCGTCTGATGATGGGTTACATCGGCGCGTCTGATGATGGGTTACAAGGGGGTTGAACTCTCAAGAACGCGGTAACTTGAGTAGGTTGATATTTTTGGTGCTTTGTCTCTCGTTCACATAATACATTTAAAATTATATTTGCACCAAGTTACTACACATCGTGTCTTTCTCCCTCCCAAATGCGCCCATAGAATATAGCACGATGCTGAGCTTACAAATGCCCCGATTTCGTGAACCTTTCAGTGCACGCTTTATAGTATGATGCAAAAATCGTCATTACGCAGTCGAGTCACATTTGTTGGTTTTCAACCATGATTCAACTCGTCTAGCTCGATATAGTCTTACAGCTAGTAATTTCTCGTTCAGTAGACTTATGCTGTTAGGCCCGCATCCGGTTGACTGGGTTATAGCGGGCTCGATACCCTGTAATGCAAGATGTCAACTTGAGAGAACTGGGAAGACGTGAATACATCGCCTGCACTTTTACCTGCAAGGTAAATAACAAGTACATGTATGTATATACACTGTGTTCTTTACGGATATTTCTCTGATGAAAGAGGTATACCTATAGGTATAAGTAAATGATCTATATCTAGGTAGTGACACCATAATAAAGTTAATTAGAATGGATCATAATGATGGCCATTGAGTTAATACACAGCTAAAAGCACTCATCCACACTTCATGAAAGAGGGAGAGACTGCATGATGACATGGATAAAGACAAGAAGATCTAGCTAGATAGGCCTGGAACTTGGTTTATTTCTATCATACATTAACAGAAAATTATGCCCACGATTAGCAATGAAATGGCGTCTATTTTAATATTTGGCATTTATTTTTTTAATATTAGAATTATATAATGGCACTCAGAGTGAATGCTGTAAATTTTATGCTCTAGATATTCTATTTTAAGCTCTGAATGCTAAGGTTTATGTAACATTGGTGTCAGGCGCATCAATAATTACATAGGTACACAAAGAATACATGTCGGAGGGTTCTTTATCATAAATATAAATCCAACTGAATGATTGTCGAAAAAAAACCGTGAAATCATGCATGTTCGTGTGTTAAGTAAAGAGGAGTTCGAAAACAGCAGAAATCAATATGGTTTGTGGCAAAGGTAAAAGGTAGCGTTTTGTTTGATTTAGTAAAAACACAGCAATTCACCGGAGTAAAGATGTCTGAAGGGAGAATTATGATCAGTCGCTACCGTTCTTCAGTAAAACACATTTGTAAAACAAAGGATTTGAACTTATTTAACATTGGCAAAAATAAATAAATAGATAAAATTCAGAAAATATAAAGTAAATAACAATAGCAAATAATTGACCCTCACAGAAGGCAAAAAATTGACTACAAAAAATGCAACTAAAAGCCGTTCTTGCAACATATTTTTTTTCATGCATGTCCAATATGTATCACCAGCTGCATTTTATTTGCACAAAAATAATTACACTTTCTCTTTCAAAATCTTGACACATTTTAATCTAATAAAATGCATTCAATTCCAGAATTTACAAGATTGAGATATGGAGCGGGTGGGAAAGCTTTACTCCTATAAAACAAGTTACCGCCATACCCCGCTGTCGACTCCCGCCGCCTACGTCACTCTACCGGAAGTCTTTGACTCCACCGCGGACCGACTGCCCACCAAGACCGCCGCCGTGGTTTACCAGAGCAGGCAGCAGAGAGAATGTCTGACTTTTGCCGAACTTCAGGTATACCGGGCTCATGCTCTTAATAATTTAAAAATCTTTATTTGTATTTTTTTTAATTTAAATTTGCTTCTTNCTCTCTCTCAATCTCTCTCTCTGTTTGTTGCTATACATAAATTTGTCGATTGTTTTATACGTAACATTTGAACAGCACACACAAACACACATGCCCGCACACACACGAACATCTTTTTAATGTTGAAAAATAGTGAGTACAGATCTATTTCAATAACAGGTATGACAGAGGTGGGTTTGATTGCAAGCACCATGTGTAACAAGACATACAGTGGCCAAGACTTGGAGGACATTTACAAAGGTATTGAAGTGAGAATCGTCGACGAAAACCACCGAGACGCCCCTCGTGGAACCAGCGGCGAAATAAGCGTGCGTTCGCCGACCATCTACGCCAATTGCTACGTGGACAACGAAAGAGCTTCTCGAGAAGCGTTTGATGCAACTGGTTGGTTCTGTACTGGTGATATCGGTGTTATGAACTTGACTGGCAGGATAACAATCAGCGGACGTAAAGATGACATGATCAAACGAGCGTCTGTTAAACTATTTCCTGCCGAAATCGAGGCAATCCTCAAACAACACCATGCTGTCAAAGATGTCGTTGTCATTGGTGCACCGGACGTTCGGTTTGGTGAGGAAATTTGCGCGTGCGTCATTCTTGATGAAATGTCTTCACCTGCTGACGTTAAAGAGTGGTGTAAAGAAGAGTTTCCCATTGGACGTGACGGTTTGTCTCTTGCACCGGCTTACTATGTCACCTTTTGCGAATTTCCTACTACTAGTAATGGGAAAACCAACCGAAGATTGATCAAGCAAACGGCTTTGGAAAAGCTCCAATCGTAGGCTTGCTTCATTAATAGTGAATAATATATGATGTTTATTGCTTAAAGGAACAGAAGGCAAATTTTTAAAGCAATATATAGCAAATAGTAGATATTGAAAATCAAAATCGGCGCCCCTTTTCAGAGAATGTGCTTATTTTGTACGTGAGACGTTAAAAATAAAAAAAAAAAACATTTTTGAAAAAAAAAAAAAACACCCAAAATCCGTAAAAGAAAAGTTACCTCTGGAACTAAACTACATAACAATTCTATAGGAACAAATGAATCCATGTATCTACTACAAAACTGCAACTTGAAGATAATAAAAAATGTGTATTATTATGTTATAATAAGAAGCAAATAATAGTGAATGTTCTAAACCACCATTACGGTAACGTTTATTTATATCATATGTAAAAACATCATTACTATATAAGGAAATATGCGCATGTGTCATTCTAGATGATGTGTCTTCATTGGTTATCATTTAGAGTTGTAAAAAAAAAGTTTTCTGTTGCAACTGATCGCTTGTCAGTGGCGCCAATGTTATGCATGCAGTTATTCTGTGTCCAACGACTGCTACTGTGAAACTAAAAAACGTTTAGTGAAACAGGCGGCATCGTAAATAATGAAAGGTTGACTTTCATTTACTGGTATTTTTGATGGGACACGTGCCATTCAGACAGTTATACTGGATACAGGCTTATATATCAAATGTGCTTTCTATATTGTTTTCTACACTAAAATGATGACCCTTATAAGAGACGACAGCCATAAACTTAATTGTACATTTGATAGGGATGCAAGACAATATTCACTGTTCTACAGCTGCAATTTCCTTTTCAGATTAACATACTTTATTTCAAATCTATATTTGATAAGGATGTAAGATATTTTTCATATAAGTTCTTCTACAGCTACAATTTTCCCCCTTGAAACAGCGAAAAGACCTCAGATATGTGCTTAATCATAAAACATTTTACCAGTACAAGTAATATCACACAATTCATATTCTAAGTATATGCTAGCTGTATAGCCTATTTGTTGTGCTATATTTTCCTGCAAATTCTGTAGCTGTCACTTTCCATCAGTGGATTTCATCCTTTCTATCACACGTATTTCTTAAAGCTAGATAAATGGCAAATGCTTACTGCTAGTATACTATTTCATAAGTGAGAGATTGAGCATTTTGAGTAGATGGCTCGTATCAAAAACGTGAGTAGCATGTGTAACAAAATAAAAAAGTCTTCATCCAATGCCGTTTCACCCCTAAATTTTCGTTTTTTTTATTATTGATTGATTTNGTTTGTTGCTATACATAAATTTATCGATTGTTTTATACGTAACATTTGAACAGCACACACAAACACACATGCCCGCACACACACGAACATCTTTTTAATGTTGAAAAAAAGTGAGTACAGATCTTTTTCAATAACAGGTATGACAGAGGTGGGTTTGATTGCAAGCACCATGTGGCCAAGACTTGGAGGACATTTACAAAGGTATTGAAGTGAGAATCGTCGACGAAAACCACCGAGACGTCCCTCGTGGAACCAGCGGCGAAATAAGCGTGCGTTCGCCGACCATCTACGCCAATTGCTACGTGGACAACGAAAGAGCTTCTCGAGAAGCGTTTGATGCAACTGGTTGGTTCTGTACTGGTGATATCGGTGTTATGAACTTGACTGGCAGGATAACAATCAGCGGACGGAAAGATGACATGATCAAACGAGCAACGCTTAAACTATTTCCTGCCGAAATCGAGGCAATCCTCAAACAACACCATGCTGTCAAAGATGTCGTTGTCATTGGTGCACCGGACGTTCGGTTTGGTGAGGAAATTTGCGCGTGCGTCATTCTTGATGAAATGTCTTCACCTGCTGACGTTAAAGAGTGGTGTAAAGAAGAGTTTCCCATTGGACGTGACGGTTTGTCTCTTGCACCGGCTTACTATGTCACCTTTTGCGAATTTCCTACTACAAGTAATGGGAAAACCAACCGAAGATTGATCAAGCAAACGGCTTTGGAAAAGCTCCAATCGTAGGCTTACTTCATTAATAGTGAATAATAAATGATGTTTATTGCTTAAAGGAACAGAAGGCAAATTTTTAAAGCAATATATAGCAAATAGTAGATATTGAAAATCAAAATCGGCGCCCCTTTTCAGAGAATGTGCTTATTTTGTACGTGAGACGTTAAAAAAAAAAAAAAAAAAAACATTTTTGAAAAAAAAAAAAAACGCCCAAAATCCGTAAAAGAAAAGTTACCTCTGGAACTAAACTACATAACAATTCTATAGGAACAAATGAATCCATGTATCTACTACAAAACTGCAACTTGAAGATAATAAAAAAATGTGCATTATTATGTTATAATAAGAAGCAAATAATAGTGAATGTTCTAAACCCACCATTACGGTAACGTTTATTTATATCATATGTAAAAACATCATTACTATATAAGGAAATATGCGCATGTGTCATTCTAGATGATGTGTCTTCATTGGTTATCATTTAGAGTTGTAAAAAAAAGTTTTCTGTTGAAACTGATCGCTTGTCAGTGGCGCCAATGTTATGCATGCAGTTATTCTGTGTCCAACGACTGCTACTGTGAAACTAAAAAACGTTTAGTGAAACAGGCGGCATCGTAAATAATGAAAGGTTGACTTTCATTTACTGGTATTTTTGATGGGACACGTGCCATTCAGACAGTTATACTGGATACAGGCTTATATATCAAATGTGCTTTCTATATTGTTTTCTACACTAAAATGATGACCCTTATAAGAGACGACAGCCATAAACTTAATTGTACATTTGATAGGGATGCAAGACAATATTCACTGTTCTACAGCTGCAATTTCCTTTTCAGATTAACATACTTTATTTCAAATCTATATTTGATAAGGATGTAAGATATTTTTTCATATAAGTTCTTCTACAGCTACAATTTTCCCCTTGAAACAGTGAAAAGACCTCAGATATGTGCTTAATCATAAAACATTTTACCAGTACAAGTAATGTCACACAATTCATATTCTAAGTATATGCTAGCTGTATAGCCTATTTGTTTTGCTATATTTTCCTGCAAATTCTGTATCTGTCATATTCCATCAGTGGATTTCATCCTTTCTATCACACGTATTTCTAAAAGCTAGATAAATGGCAAATGCTTACTGCTAGTATACTATTAGTATAGTATATAGTATACTATAATATACTAAGTGAGAGATTGAGCATTTTGAGTAGATGGCTCGTATCAAAAACGTGAGTAGCATGTGTAACAAAATAAAAAAAAAGTCTTCATCCAATGCCGTTTCACCCCTAAATTTTCGTTATTTTTGATTATTGATTGATTTTTTGATCCGGATCACCACCAAAAACTAATCATCTGTTCCTTGGCCCACTTCTGACAGTTCCTGAAAATTTCATCAAAATCGGTCCATAACTTCTTGACTTATGTTGATGACACAAAAAACAAACAGGGGTGAAAACATAACCTCCTTGGCGGAGGTAAATAGGCCTATCGAGTTATTTCTTATATATGTATACAGTATGTATGACCCTGAGGCCTAACCCTATATATTGATTCAAAACGCGCGCGTACGCTTGGAAAGACAACCTAGATCAGCTTAAGTTACAGTTACAGTTATAGCAGCACGTACGGGTCGAAAAGTTATTTGGGCACGGCTTGGATTTATGTAATGAATAATTAGGCAGGATTTCTCTCAGCAAAACTTTTACATGATGTTTTAATTCTAACAGAGCTTCAAGTATCAGTGTCTTGCGACTCAATGACCACGTTTTCAAACCCTTAGGGAATATATGGAAACGTCAAAAACAAAACAAGGGATCCCGCCTGTGTAGAATATAGGAATTGTGCGACCTAGCTACAGTATGTTCTTACACGTACGTACGCTTCACCCTGTAAGCACACGTTGTGACCTAGGATATAGCACTTCGCTGCTTTATATGATAATATTTAAATCATCTGTACGGGGTCGAGGCAGACTGTCGGCTTTAAAACCAACACAGACAAACAGCAAGTAATCTGTTTTTCAGCAGAACAGCCGCTTGTTGACTAGTTTTCGCCCTTAAGACACCCTGAAGTGCATAGAGCCAATTGAGGAGAACTGGGAAAACGTGAATACATCGCCTGTTCGTGGTGGACTTCCAAGTCACAGAATACTTACAGGGTAAATAAAGAGTAAGTATACACACCTGTTAATGGTATATTTTTTTCAAGGGTGGGGGTAGGGGTAATTTGTAGCAAAGGGAGGCACCGTTAAATAGATCAATGGTCTATAAATACTTGAGTAGATATACGCTAGATCCTGGAGACGGAGAGGTTGGCCAGCTTACACAGAGGTACACTGACAAAGTTCAGTCAAGGTCAACAGCTCAGCTGGATAAACAGAAGCCTTGAGCTTGATTTTTTATACATATCATACGTCTTCTACTTTTATTTCATGTGTACATGTATCAACAGATAGTTGTGACCGCGATAATCACTGAAATGTCGCCCATCTTAACATCTGGGCTTGTATTTTTTAATGTGTAATTTTTTGTTTCGTTTCTTGAATACAGGTACTTTTAGTATAAAACGACGGACAGGGTGAGCACTCGAAAGGTCATGCCCTAAATACGCAATTTAACACTGTATGCCAAGGCCTATGTGACATTAGTGACAGACGCATCAATAATTACACAGGTACGCTGCGCGTTAAGTGACGCGTGACGGAGAGTGTTAATAATGTTATGGAAAAAATAAATAATTGATTGTTAAAGTTAACTAGTATCTGCTGTTGTTCAGTAATAACAAAATTTGTTAAGCACACAGTGTATGCAATTTAGCTAATGGACAAGGTTGGCGCATTAAAAGTATGAGATCAAATAAACACAAAAAAAAAAAGATATTAAGATGAAATTAAGTTTGAAATAAACACATGCCTATAAAGGTTTATTCAAGTAAATGGGATTGAAGTATTCTGGAATCTTTCCTTCCTAATTTGTGCCACAAAAATCTCGATTGGTTTTTAGATCTTAACTTTGGAAAATCTGGTGGTTAAAAAATAATCCAACTTATCTCTGTCACCTTATGTTTTGAAAAAAGGAATTCCATAGTTCTGAAGTTTTCTAAAGTGATCAATTTTTAAAGCTTGCTTTAAGCTGGGCATGAATAAAAATTTCATGCGTATATGTCTAAAATTGTGGCCGCTATTGTGAAACAAAAAGTTGGCTGCAAACAAAGAAACGAGCAGACAAAAGTAATTATAAAAACCAAAACCCTTTTTTTCCAATGTCAACGCTACATGTAGGACTTCCTTGTTTCTCCATTACTAAGTGCTTCAAAAATGGTCGATATGAAGTCACATATGCCTTTTATGGTGCTCGAAAACAATTCTATTTTTAATTCCAAATTCCAGGCCTCATTAACGATGAAAGCCTTTAGCGATAGTAAGCCTTTCCTTTGTGATCATGAATAAACGACTCAAATAGCGGTATCATGGCGGTCGCTATAATCAGATAAAAAAGCACAAACAATTTGGCTAGGTTTCGGGACTTATACTGTATACACATTAATTATTTTCCAAACCCAAACTAGTTTCAATACGGGAGTAATGAAGGTGTTATTATTATTATTATTATTATTATTATAATCATTATTATTATTTTATCCATGATATTGCGGTTTAAGTCGTTAAATCAGCGTTCGCAATCACAAACCCAAGGTTTATGATCACGAACGGCTAGCTCGTTTACAAGGCCTTTATATCTTTGTTTGGATTTCTTTTCTTAATTGAAAATTCATTCAATTCCAGAATTTACCATGTTGAGATATGGACCGCGTGGGGAAACTTTACTCCTATAAAACAAGTTACCACCATACCCCGATGTCGACTCCCACCGCCTACGTCACTCTACCGGAAGTGTTTGACTCCACCGCGGACCGACTGCCCACCAAGACAGCCGCTGTGGTTTACCAGAGCAGGCAGCAGAGAGAATGTCTGACTTTTGCCGAACTTCAGGTATACCGGGTTTATACCTGTATCTGCTTTTAAATATTTAAAAATCTTTTTGGGGGGGATTTTTTTTAATTTTGTTTTTCCCAACAGTTATTTTTGTGAATTTTGACTATTTGTGAATTTGAGGGGCTAAATGTAGGTAGAAAAGCAGGGGTTTTCATTCAAACATTGACGAGGGGAGGGCTGTTTGGAAAACGACTACATTTTGTAGACTTGTGAAAATGATGATGAAATGAATAACACCAAAATCAACAGTGAAAGCATTGCATGGGAAACGGTTGTAAAGAAAAATTTAATACTTGTTTTTATTTTCGAATATATTTCACTCTCTTGACATTGGAATAACATTGGAAAGCAGTGAATGTTTCTCTTTACTACAATGTATCACGTCTTGAAATCTTTTTTTTTTTTTTAGTATGTCATAAAAAAAGTAAAAAAGGCCCCAAATAGTGAAGTTCTCCTTTAACTCACAAAGAATACTTCTTTACGATTTTTTAAAAATTGCCTTAATTGTTTTACAGAAACAGTCCAAAACACTGGCTGCATCACTTTTGCAACGTGGGTATACATTTGGGTATCGTGTGGCTTTTTTCGCGCCAAACTGCATTGAATATTTTTCTGTTCAACTGGCATTGAGTCGCATTGGCTGCAACACGTTTCTTCTCAGCAACTTGGCCACCCTTGAAGATGACGTTTGGCAATACAAATGCCGTGCTCTGATAATGTACATAAGAACCGACGAAGAGGTGGATGTATGCAGAAAGATACTCGCCCGAAGATCACGTGAGACCTTGCATAAAGACGTCATCATCTTTGGTCCAAAAAGTGACGTCATCACCTCTGGTCCAAAATATGAGGTCACCACGGAGGGTACCGTGACCCTCAGCAACGTCTTTTCAGCAGGAGAGGGACAGAACTGGGAGGACCTCGTGGCAAAAATGGGATGGATGGCACCAAACCCGGAGGACCCACTTTGGGTCTTATTTACGTCTGGTTCCACTGGTAAACCCAAGGGAGTCCAGTACACCCATACCAAGTATCTACACCAGTGTCCCTTCCTTGCCATGGCAAGTATCGGGGACGACAGCTGTTTCTTCAACGACCGCCCTGTTACCTGGCTTGGCGGTAGCATGACGTTGCTTAGTATGGCAGCGTTTGGAGCGACAGGAGTGACAGTGAATTCTGCTTTGGTGGTCGGTGGTGGAGACATGGATTTTGTCATAGAAATCCTTCAGCAGGAAAAGTGTTCGCATACATCAATGATGCATTATTTTATGGTTGATCTTTTCGCCCGTTTCGATCCCTCGGTTCATTCGGTGCCTTCTCTTCGGCACATTCTTACAGGGGGTCAAAGAATGAACCTGGATGTCATAAAGAAAATACAAGGCCTGTTGACTAACGTGGAAGATGTGGCAGAATGTTACGGTATGATTACTCACAATCTCTCTCTCTCTGTTTCTACACATAGATTTGCTATTATTGTTTAATACGTTTATCTTTGAATAGCACTTCCCTTCCACGACACATATACCCGCATACACACACACACACACACACACACAGGAACTCTTTTGATGATTATTTCATGTTTATATACACTGTAGAAACACCAAGTACAGAACTGTCTTAACTACAGGTACGGCCGAGGTGGGTTTGATGGCGGGCACCCTATGCAACCAGACTTACAATGGCCAAGACGGGGAAGAAATTTACGAAGGTACAGAAGTAAGAGTTTTGGACGAAAACCACCGAGACGTCCCTCGCGGAACCAGCGGCGAAATATGCGTGCGTTCGCCGACCATCTACTCCAATTGCTACGTGGACAACGAGAGGGCCTCTCGAGAAGCGTTTGATGCAACTGGTTGGTTCTGTACTGGTGATATCGGTGTTATGAACTTGACTGGCAGGATAACAATCAGCGGACGTAAAGATGACATGATCAAACGAGCAACGCTTAAACTATTTCCTGCAGAAATCGAGGCAATCCTCAAGCAGAACCATGTCGTCAAAGATGTCGTTGTCATTGGCGCACCGGACGTCCGGCTGGGTGAGGAAATTTGCGCTTGCGTCATTCTCGATGAAGTGTCGTCACTGGCTGACGTTAAAGAGTGGTGTAAAGAAAAGTTCTCCATTGGACGTGACGGTTTATCTCTTGCACCGGCTTACTATGTTACTTTTTGCGAATTTCCTACCACAAGTAATGGGAAAACCAACCGAAAGTTGATCAAGCAAACGGCTTTGGAAAAGCTGCAATTATAGGCTTACTTTATCTAAGAGTGAATCATAAATGGTGCTAATTGCTTAAAGGAACAGAGGGCAAAATTTTAAAGCAATATATAGCAATAAGTAGATACCTAGTATTAGCCATGACGTTAAGCCCCTTGAGTTACAGTTTAAATATTTATCAAAACATCCTTACGTCATGTATAATTTACTATGACTGCATCACTACAAAATCTATCTGAACGCGGTATAAAATTAAATGACCCGGAACATACGTTACCATACGTTTCCGGAACATACTTTATCATTTAGGGTTCTTTGCGTAATGTAAATACTTTGTAAAAATTTGAATTTAAATTTAGACAGTCGTGATTTTTTGTTCTATACACATATATGTTTTAAAAAATTGAACACAACTTTGAATTCATTCAATTTTATTTTTGAACACTTTGGCATGTGAAATGCACCTCATTATTGGGTTTGGGTGATATACATCATTACTAGGTAAGGAAATATGACATGTCTCATGATACATGTAGATGATGTGTCCTCATTGGTTACATTAAAAGTTAGTAAAAAGTAAGTTTTCTGTCGGACTTGATGCTCTGTCAGTGGGTTATATGTGCATTTTTATATTTCAAACAACTACTGGGATAGACGTTTAGTGAAACAGACGGCACTGGAAATATTGAAAGTTTGACTTTCATCTGCTAGTATTTTTGATAGGACACATGTCATTCATATATATATATATATATATGCACGTACGGGAGTTCGACGACAAGTTGATTGGGCATGGTATTTAATGCATAATTTTAAAGCAACATTATTCGCAAAAAAAAATTTGTAAGAAATTTCAATGTTTTTATGCTAACAGAACTTGAAGTACCAGTGTCAAGTGATTTTATGATCACGTTTTAAAACCCTAAGAGGATTACTGGAAACCCACAAGACAAAACAGGGGATCCCACCTGTGTAGAATACAGGGCTTACGCAACCTAGTTCAAAAAATATATGTTCTTACGTACTCTTCGTCCTATAAGCACATGTGGCTTATGATATAACATGTACGCTGCTTTACATTATAATATTAAAATAATCTATACGGAGTCGAGGCAGACTGTCGGCTTCTAAACCAATAGAGACAAACAGCAAGTAATCTGCCGCTCAGTAAACCCGCCGCTTGTTGACTAGTTTTCGCCGTCAAGATACCCTGAAGTGCAAGGTGTCAACTGAGGAGAACTGCGGAGACCTGAATTAATCGTCTCTTCTTGGTGTACTTTCAAGTCGCAAGATACGTACAGGATAAAGAACGGGTAAGTATACACACCAGTTAAAGGTACAAGTATATTTTTCCAAAGGGTAGGGTTAGGGGTAATTCGTAGCAAATGCAGGTACCGTAAATTAAACCAATGCCCGGTGAATAATAATCTAGGCAATTGAGTAGATACACGCTAGGTCTTGGAGACGGAGAGGTTGGCTTGATTACCCAGAGGTACACACACAACATTGCGTCAAGTTTATAGGCTCAGCTGAATAAACAGAACTTGATTTAATTTATGTACATATATTATATGATGTCCTCTCCTCTTATTTCAGGTGTGCATGCATCCACAGATAATAATGCTTACGATAATCAATCCATCTTAATATCTGGGATATATATATATATATATATATTTTTTTTTTCATACAGGTAAAAGGGCGCACAGAGAGAGCGCTCTTACCTCATGCCCTAGATACGTGACCACTTACACAGACCGTACATATGCCAAGGCCTACGTAACATTAGTGTCAGACGCATCGATAATTACACACGCACACCGTGTATTAAGTAACGCAGTTGAAAAGAAAACGAAAAAAAATTAATAACGTATTCTTGAGGTTAGGTGAAGGCTGAATGCAGCTTGTGGCAAAGGTAAAAGAAGAGGGGTGGTTATTGTTTTTTGACTGTGAACATGTAATAGAAGATTAGAAGATTAGCATAAAGATCAAATTAAGTTCAAAATAATCACAGACCTCTAAAAGTACATTAAAAAAAATGGATTAAAATTTTTATGGAATATTTCAGTCTTAATTTTCGCCACATAGATTCTGGGTTGGTTGTTAACTTTCTGTAAAATCTGGTGGATGAAAGGTAATCATACGTATCCTTGTCATTCGTACGTTCTGAAGGCAAGAATTCCATAGAGCATTGGCTTTCTCAAGTGACAATTCTTGCTAAAAAACAGGACATCAGGACATTAAAAAAAAAAAAAAAGAACATCGCCAAATTATTCAACTGATAATTAAAACCAAACCCCTTTCTTCTAGTGCAAATGCCATTATGCCATTATTTCTCCATAACTATAAAAATGCGTTGTGCTTCAAAAAAATCAAACAATGTAGTCACAGATGCACTTTATGTTCCACGAAAACAATTTCCAATATACAAAATCCAGGCCTCACAAAGGTTAAAAGCTTTTGCCGACCCCGATCCTCTCTTTTGCGATCGCGCATACCGCGATATCATGGGGTGAACGTGTGGTCGCAAGCATTATCTAAGAGTACAAACAATTTGGCCAGCTTTCATCCTGGCCTCTAGGCAACATAATTACCAACTAGAGAAATGGTAATGCACCAATTGTATTGTATCGTCATTAGTATATCATATTGTACAAGGTCATGACAATCTATGTACCAGTACATAAATAAATTGAAATTGAAATTGCTAAGCTGTTTTAACACACGTGTTATTTTTCTCAACCCGAACTACCAGTACATATAATACGGCAATAATGCAAGGGTGATTTTACGCCATGATATCGCGGTTTGAGTCGTTAAATCAACGTTCGCAATCACAAACCCAAGTCTTAAGATAACGAACAGCCAGTTCGTTTATAAGGCCTGCATATTTTCACTTATATTTTTTTTTCTAAATTGAAAATGCATTCAATTCCAGAATTAACCATATTACCATATTGAGATATGGACCGCGTGGGGAAATTTTACTCCTGTAAAACAAGTTACCACCATACCCCGATGTCGACTCCAAACGCCTACGTCACTCTTCCGGAAATCTTTGACTCCACCGCGGACCGACTGCCCACCAAGACAGCCGCTGTGGTTTACCAGAGCAGGCAGCAGAGAGAATGTCTGATTTTTGCCGAACTTCAGGTATACCGGGCTCATTCCAGTATATGCTTTTGATAATTTAATTTTTTTAAAATTTAATCTTCCTAACAGACATTTTCTGCGCATTTAGGCCACTTCGGGGGTTAGTTAGAGTAACAGGGTGTTTCAACCAAATGTTGACGTCGGTGATGTTGAAATGTAATACAAATAATGACTCAAATTGCTGTCAAGGGTCATCATTTTAACGTTTTGCCTTCTGCTCTCTGAAGAGGGGAAGATTGTCTGGGAAAGACTACACTTTGTAAGGCCCGTAGCCAGCAATTTTAGAGGGGGGGTTCGTTTTCTGAAAAAGTGGACCTTTTACCATAAAATCCTCAAGTACATAGTTCAAATTGTACCCAGAGTGGACCTTTTCCCAGCAAAAAGGGTGGTTCTTTCGAACCCCCCCGAACCCCCCTTAGCTACGGGCCTGCTTTGTAGACAAATTGACGATAAACTGGTTAACCCCTAATTGATCAATAAACAAAAATTCTGCAAATGGCTGTAACCAAGAATAACCTAACATTTCAGCCATTTAATGTCTCAGATCGTGACGCTCTCCACTAACTCACAAAGAATACCACTTAACGATGTATATTTTAATTGCCCTTATTGTTTTGCAGAAACAGTCCAAAACATTGGCTGCTTCACTGCTGCAGCGTGGATATACTTTTGGGGATCGTGTGGCTTTTTTCGCGCCAAACTGTATTGAATATTTTTCTGTTCAGCTGGCACTGTGTCGTATTGGCTGCAACGCGTTTCTCCTCAGCAACTTGGCCACCCTTGAAGATGACGTTTGGCAATACAGATGCCGTGCTCTCATAATGTACATAAGAACAGGCGAAGAGGTGGATGTTTGCAGAAAGATACTCACCCGAAAATCACGCGAGAACGTGGATAGAGACGTCATCATCTTTGGTCCCAAAATTGACGTAATCAGTTCTGGTCCAAAATTTGACGTTACCACGGAGGGCACTGTGACCCTCAGCAGCGTCTTTGCAGCGGGAGAGGGACAAAATTGGGAGGACATCGTGGTGAAAAAGGGATGGGTGGCACCAAACCCAGAGGACCCTCTTTGGGTCTTATTCACGTCGGGTTCCACAGGTAAGCCCAAGGGAGTCCAGTATACCCATACCAAGTATCTACACCAGTGTCCCTTCCTTGCCATGGCGAGTATCGGGGACGACAGCTGTTTCTTCAACGACCGCCCTTTTACCGGGCTTGGCGGTAGCTTGACGTTGCTTAGTATGGCAGCGTTTGGAGCGACAGGAGTGACGGTGAATTCTGCTCTGGTGATTGGTGGTGGAGACATGGATTTTGTCATGGAAATCCTGAAGAGAGAAGAATGTACGCATATTGTAATGATGCACTATTTAATGGTTGATCTTGTCGCCCTTTTCGATCCCTCGGTCCATTCTGTGCCTTCTCTCCGGTATATTCTGACAGGGGGTCAGAGAATGAAGTTGGATGTCATACAGAATATACTAGATCTGCTGACGAACGTGGAAGTTGTGGCAGAATGTTACGGTACGATAACTTTCTCTCTCTCTCTTTGTTTCTACACATAAATTGGCTATGATTGCTTTATACGTGAATATTTGAGCAGTACCCCCTTCCCCAACACAGACACGCGCACACGAATACACACGAACACTTTTGATGGTCTTTTAATGTTGAGAAACACTAACTAAAGAACTGTCTCAATAACAGGTACGACAGAGGTGGGTTTGATGGCGGGCACCCTATGCAACCAGGCATACAATAGCCAAGACGGGGAAGACATTTACGAAGGTACAGAAGTGAGAATCGTCGATGAAAACCATCGAGACGTCCCTCGCGGAACCAGCGGCGAAATCTGCGTGCGTTCGCCGACCATCTACGCC